AGTAGCAGCAGCTGCAGCAGTAGCAGGAGTCAGAGTAGTAGTCAGCAGTAGTAAGTAGTAAGTAGTAGATAGTAATTTCTAACTTTAGGGAATTGGCGTCACTGCTTGGCTGAGACTCGGAATAGGGATGGTGCGTATGCCAGACGGGCACACCTCTAAACTCGTCTACAGCGGAAGTATTGGTTCAAAAAATCATTGCTTCTGAAGAATGCTTGGGAGTGGTGGTGCATCGACATGCTGAATGCCTGTGGTCCCTGGTTCAAAGCCTGGCTAAGAAACCGAACCCCATTGACCTAGCCCGAGCAGATTCTTAAGCAGCGCTTGAGGGCATGTGCGCATCTCGCTGAGCTCCAGGCTGCTTCAACGTTGCACCTGCGAGTGGCGGGCTGTGACCCTGGTACCGGCTCTGCTAGGCCAAAGCGATATGAGCATGATAGGAGCTTCTAGGAACAACGAAGATGGGATTGAGGTGCTTTGAACATCTGAGCGAAGATCCCACCTGCAGCTCGTGCAGAAGGTGGTGTCTCCTCCCACACACAAAACCATGAAAACGGGGTAGCAGAACTCAGCCCCAAGACTCTGGGCGCCAGCGATACTTTGCCATTATACCTACCGGTTGCGTTGCAACAAGCTTTGGTCCACAAATAATTAACAGCTTCTGATTCTCACCACTACCTTATGCCACGCAGCCACACCTACCCTTAGCCGTGATAGTATTTGTTGGCAGCATGACATCATGAGACGATCATCGTCGTTTACAGTCTTTCTCCCGCGTCAAGCAGGGAAGCGTTCTACCACAAACATTAAAGAACCTTCGATGATCATACACGTTCACGCACAGAAGTGTGGCAGCCGTAGAGAACAGAACTGCCTCGTCAATGCGTGAGAGAGAAGCTACCTGCCTTGCCCTTTGCAGGCGCTCCTCTCCGAACATCCGTGGAGGAGCAGACTTTTGGGGCGTCATAGGTGGGGATGGAGGCCGGAGTACCTGCGCTGAGATTCATTCTTTCGAATCGCCTTGTGTAGTGCAAGTGGGTTCATTGCACGACGCCGCTAAAGACAAAGTCCTGCTCCTCTGTTCGACGCAGAGACTTCTTTCTCACATGGGATGAGCTTTCGGCCAACAGGCCCAAGCTTATCTCGAAGACAAGTAATCACGAATCCGGGAACGGACACCAAAGCACTGGGCTGAGATAACGGTGACAACGAGACACTTTCCCGCCACACGGAGCGTGGGCAAACCTAAAAATCGGCACATGGAAACACCAAATAGCACGGAGACTCAGTCGCAACGTACGACGCAGAAACGTCTGACAACGACGAGACACCGGGACACCGGCAGTCAGGACACCAGGACAGCAACACGCGCGTAAGCTGGACCCTGGAGTCGACCTTCACACGACTTCAACAAAACTCTGTCTGAGACGTCCAAGACGGCTCCTGACTAAACCCGACAGTTTCTAGCTTTGTTGCTGCCTCTATGTTAGGTTCGGTTTGGGGATTTAGCACTACGTTCCTAGACTCTAGACCATCTTCCTGCCTCAAGCCGAGTGGCTCCATGCTCCCGCAGGAAAACTCTGTACGTTCACACCAGGTCTTCGAGGAACCGATGACACTAAGATAAGTAAGCACAGGATGCAGAGGCCACGCCTCGGAGGCCAAGTTGTCGTCTTTGCCACGATGCTTCAGAGGCGCCATTGCAGCCATCTCGGAAAGGGCTCAGCCCAAGCTTCAGAACGAACACATTCTGTTGCCCCGGATGGTTCCGAACTTTGCAGTGCTTCGTCCCTTCAGCATACAGTCCAAGCCGCAGAGTAACCTTTAGCCTGCAACAGCTTTCGTCTCGGATGTCAGAGCTACGGATATGGATGGTCACCCCCCCACCCCCCCATGACAGACCACCCCGTTGAAGACCCCGCTCCCACCGGCGATTGCGGCCTTTTTCGCCATTCAAGCCCCGCTTTCGACTGGCTTCAACCCCTCAGCGAAAACAAAGAACCCCAAACTAAAACACAGATCCGCAGAGATTGCCCGAACTACATTGATACTTGTGTCTTTGTCTATCTGTGGTCGTGTGGCTTCCAACCCCCAGCCTGAAGCCAAAAACTAAAGATCCAGAGAGAATGCCAGAACTGTTTTTTTTGCATTCTTGACGTTTTGTTTTTTGTATTATTATGATTATTCTTATTTTTTGTTTTTTTGGTTCAGGTTTTACAGGATCGATCTTCTGATACAGTCACAATTACGCGTAGTAATCGGAACACCAAATCCAAAATAGCAAATACCAAAATACCAAAAAACAAAACAGTTCCGGCATTCTCTCTGGATTTTTATTTGTTTGGTTGTTGGTCTCATCCTTCACATAACTGTTTATATGGTTTGGTTCTTCCGTGATCCCTAATCTTTTCGAACCGATTGTATATGTAGGTGAGTAGTGGTATGTCTAATCAGCTGTCGCTATCGCGTTTACACGGAGGCACTTTCATTGAGCTTCCACTTATTTACGCCGCATCATTTCCAATATTGTTCCATTTGTTCTGCAGTCTTTCACCATTAACTCAACATTGGTGCAATATTTCACTGCCCCATACAATCGTATATGCAACACCAAGCCATCTTGCCAAATAAATGCCGGTATAGCTGTACTCTTAAAATCATTACATTAACGTTCTACGTGTACTTGTCAAAAGAGCAGTAGATTTTGGCAATAGCAGCTATTCGCAGCAGTTCGTGACCTACTACTATATTTGTAGGTATCGGTATGTGAACTGGAAATATAGCCGTCATACACCTACACACCTATCCAATCCCCGTTTCCATGCTCAATCACGCCTAAATTACGACTACATGCTGCTATGCACCAATTATCGTATCAAGTATAGTCACTGAGTCCTTAGCTAGTATTACATTTGCCGATGTTATTATAGTTACCATTACCAATATCCCTTGTTACTGTGATAAGAACTGCCGTTCTGCTTCTTTCAGCATTACTAGCCCAAATAACACTCTGTACCTCCACATCTCTTATCATTTTTCTGGGTTAATCGCTCCTGTGCGATTAGCTTTGGGTGTTGGGTGCAGTGTTGAACAGTTGGTATTCACGTTATTTCAGGCCAACCAAACAGTATCAGGCACATGTATCAGTTGTTGAGTCCTGTGTTTATTCACATTCTGAGACTACCACGCCTTAGTCCCTGAATATTCACATTGGTGCTTTAATAGAAAGATGGGCTGGTCCGGTAATGCATCGAAGCTGGAGGAATGATACTGTGAAAATACAAAATATCTCGAAACGGCTGCTGGTTAAACTTTGTATTCAGTAGGTTGGTTCTTGATATGTTGTCCCTGTGCCAACCACTCTTTACATGTTTGTTCTGAGTTTAGTTCATGTGAAGTCTGTGCATGAGTTACAGTACATTCCTGTGTTGGTCGAACTGGATGTTGTCTTGTGTAAAATCACTGTAAACATGTTGCACCTAGCAAGTGATGACGCTTAACAAATCATGCATGCTACAATTTTATTGTGGACTTCTGTTACTGTACTGATCAGAAGTCTGTACTGTAAGCACCTGTTAAAGCCCTACAAACATGAAAACACACCAATTGGGGACCCCCCCCCATGCAAACACAAGGCGCACATGAGCCGATATGTTACATATTGATCTTACGAAGTGCATGAGTCAAGCCAGCATATTGGGTTGGCCGTTTTTTCGGCAGGCTGATTTAAGTATACGCGCATGCCTTATAAGCCTTAGCAATTGTCGACCAGTTCGAGTTTCCCATCGTGAAGGCTTTAATCGTAGACAAAGAGGAACACTCCGTGCTCAGTAACTGACTAAACATCAGTGAACTGGTCTTCCCATAGCAACATCTTCAGGCAGAGACTACTGATGAATGAGTATATATGTTTGTACAGGACGAAAGGGAGAGCTTCATCAACAAATGTTTGGCAGTCATCTTGCATACAGACTTGCCACATGGATGGGTGGATTCTCTATCGAGGCTAAGTGCAGGCTGCGGGTCGTAAACAGGCCAAGGCCGAATACACCATTGACACAGCGATAGGCTCGAGATATAAATTGACATTGTCAACCCAATGCGAGTGCCCTTAAGCTTCTTTGAACTTATTCACATCTATATTTTCCCTGTGATGGTCTGTCGCCGAGGGGGTGGTGAGCATATGTGTATATATATAGATATAGAGCATGCCGTTCAAATCTTCCGTTACGGTGCCAGAGGCCGAGGGAGTGGCCAGAGAGCTCGGAAGTTCGGAGGCCGGCTCGAAGCAGGGGGGCCTCAGGAGGGCTTCGGCGCTTTGGCCCATGGGGCTGCCAGAGCCGGGAAAGGCTCTTTGTCTTTACTGGTGCTAGCGGCACCCTTTTGTCCAAGGTTCGGGTCCAACTGGGCTTCTTGTCAATTCTTGGGGCTGAATAGAAAGGAGTTCTGGTAGGATTCTTTATGATAAGTTCTGTACGCAGGGATGGAACAGAAGAAGCATATTACAAGGTATTGTGGCCATGTATGCACAGCAGCAAAATGTAAGAATTGTTCCACAATCCATAGGTGCCGTGTGCAGCCTCAATGACACTCTTTAAGCTCCATCCTTGCAGTTCAGGGGTTCAGGGTTGTCTAAACCCGGGGAAGGAGCATCACAGCAGACTGGCTCTGCATGGATTTCTTGCTGCCCGGAGATTTCGCTTGACGGTTTTCAACATCTCCCAGACTCCCAGACATGCTGTCAGAACCAGCAACTGCTCGCAAGCGATCAATGCAACACCCAGCGGTATAGACAACAACAAGTACAAGTATTCGGCTTCATCTTGACAGATCCCCGCAGGCCCCATCCTCGCTGACATTGCCACAAGTGCCAGCAGCATTATCGTCACAAACAATCCTACACCCACCGTCGTCATGACAAAAAGCATCAGCACCAGCACCATCGTCGCCATCATGATGGTCGTCATCATCATCATCAGCAGCATCATCATCATCACCAACACCGTCATCGCCATCGTCATCGCCATCATCATCATCATCGTCATCATCATCGTCATCATCAACATCATCGTCATCACCATCACCATTACCATCACCATCATCATCATCATCACTTTTTATCATAATCATCATCAGCCTCGTCCTCACTGTCGTACTTCTGCTGGCGTTTATGTGCTAGCATGGCAGCCATTGACTGGACCATGGACAACTACAAAACAACAACAAGAAACACGTCAACCGTGAGAGCAAAGGTAGGAACACCAATCCCAGATTTGCCCAGATGTAAAAGTTCAAGGTGGCCCGCAGCGACCGCACAAACCAGGGAGCGAACTTGTCCACGTCCTTACCAGGCCATTTCGCAGTTTTGCACGTTGCGGTTAGAGTGAGGGTTTGCGTGCCGGAACCTTGCTGGTGCTCGCACCACCTGAACCCTGTTAACTCTGAAAACCCAGTCCAGTCTAGAGGGGTGCAACACATCGTGAGAGATCGCTCAATTTCGAATTCAACCGACAACCCCCAAATGGACCTTGCAGCCCTCCCAAGCGTGTAACTGTAGCAGCAAGACTTCCAGCATGCTGGCGTGAAGTGTTGCAGCCACCCTGAAGCCCCGGCACTTCATGAGTATGTCAGCATGTTCGGATATCGGAACATGTCTGCGTATGTATGTACACCAGTATCAAACAGACCGATGGATGGATGGATGGATGGATGGGGCTGGACTGAGAGCTAGACATGGCATAGAAAGTAAAACGCAACGGACTTTAAAGAAATACAACATAATATGACGAATGAACAAAGCTGGCTACCTACGTATGCATGCATGCGTGAGTGTGTGTGTGTGTATATATATACACTATATATATATATATACTGTATACTAATATACATTCTAGGTATATAGATACACACCCACCCATACCCGCAGGGGTGCCCGATCACTTCTGTCT